TGTGCCTGACACTCACAATTCCAACTACACCATTCAGGATGGTATAGCTGCTTTATTTTTCCCTTAGCTTGAAGCAATGTCACAAAGTCTTTAAGGTATTTGGGTATTAAGGTATTAACCTGTTGCAACCTCCTCGGACCTTGGGAACACCCTTGGCTTCTCTGTGCACTTACTGGAGTTGGGTTGCCCCCTCTTTGTTGCCCTGGTGGTCCCCATGACCTGGATTCTGGTGCCTGGTCTGCTTGCTCGCCCATCGGGCTTGGCAGACCAGGATTTTTCTCCTCCCTGAACCTAGTTGATCTCCTGAGTTTAGGCTGCCTGGACCCTCTGAGTCCCTCCCAGTATTTTCTGGGCTTGTGGTATTCTCCAGGTCCATAATAGACCCATCTTAGGAACACAGTTCCTCACTCCCAAGCCCAGTAGAAGGGTTGTCTAGGGAATCTATGGTGCCCCAATATCCTATTGCCCCCCATCCAGTGCTGGAGGTACCAGAATCAGGATTCACCTCTCTGACTACCCCCTTTTTTAGTGATTTCCTTCTGGGAGCAATTGCAGAATTGGGCCAGTTTCTTTGGGTGGATGCCAGTTCTCTTATAGATTTTAAGTTGTTTGAATGACCCCGGTTATTCTCCCTGTCTGGAGTGCTGTAGTGTGTTTGTGAATAGTGTGGGTACCCCCTGTGTGACTCCCTGGCTGGAGTAAGTAATGGTGTGTCCATGAATTCCTGTTGCAACCTTGGGAGAGGTCTTCCCTTGCCTCTTTATCTGCCCTTGACTGCTGACAGCGACATTCCCTTTGCACACTATAACCCTCCTCCCCCCTCAGAGAAAAACCAGGAGTGGAAGATGAAGAGTCCAGTCTCGTACGCAGCTGATCTATGTGCCGCCAGAGAACACAGCCGTCGTCCAAGGACACCTTGTAGGACAAGGGACCAGTGACCTTGCAGACCACAGCTGGAATCCACAGATGACGGGGCTCTTTTCGTGGACTTTGGTCCACTGCCAAACTGCCTGCTTGTCTAAAAGCCTATGTAGTGATTCTGCTACAGCAGCTTTGTGAGGTAGGAAAGCATTGTAAAAATTCAAGAGACTTAGGAATGCCTGCAGTTCACTTTTAGACTTAGGGCTAGGAGCTTGCTGTATAGCCTTTAATTTAGATTCAGCAGGGTGAATTCCTTGGGCATCTATTCTGAATCCCAAGAAATCTGTAGAAGTGACTCCTATCTTACACTTGTCTTTTTTTACTTTTAGGCCTGCTCTTCGGAAATGAAGCAAAACAGCCCTCAATCTCTCTGCTAAATTCTGAGTAGATGCTCCAGCAATAAGGACATAATTGAAGTAGGCAAACTCCAGGAATACCCCTAAGTGTACTCTCCATGACACTTTGGAATATTCCAGAGGCTACATATACCCCAAATTGCAGTCTCTTGACCTTGAATGCACCCCTATGAGTTACAATGGTCTGTGCTTCAGCAGCTGCTTCATCAACAGGTAACTGTTGTTATGCCTGTGCCAGATCGAGCTTTCCAAAAATTTGCCCCCCTTTGAGGGAGGCCAAAATATGGCTGACTACTGGTACGGGGTACACATGCTGTTGCAGTGCCTTGTTTAGTGTGCACTTGTAGTCTGCACATATGCGTATGTCCCCATTAGCCTTGAGAGGCATGACTATGGGGGTTTCCCATGGACTTGAATCAACAGGTCCTAAAATACCTTGCTGGATCAATTTATCCAGCTCAGCATCAATTTTACCTTTTAGTGCAAAAGGTACTCTCCTAGCTTTAACCTTAATCGGTGTGATGGTAGGGTCAAGCCTCAAAGAAACTGGAGGCCCCTTGTAGGACCCAAGCTGTGGACTAAACACATCTGCAAACTCCTCGCAGACTTCTGCTAGGCCCAACATTTGCAAATATTGCAGCCCAGTAACCTGGATTCCCAAGGCCTCAAACCAATCAAGTCCTATAAGACTCGTTCATTCACCCCCAACAACCAACACATCCAATGGACCTTCAAAATCCTTGTGCTGCACTGTAAGGGTGGCCTCCCCCTTTACACACACCTTGGAATTTTGAAAATCTGTTAAGATTATGTTGGATGGCCTAAGTTTGGCCTGGAACCCACTGCTGTTGCAAATCTTCCTAAATGTATGAATGGAAATGATTGAAAGAGCAGACCCCGTGTCCAGCTCCATGGCCAAAGGAACTCCTTGCAACCTCATCTTAAGTGACAGCTTCTTTTTAAGTGGTTTGTGTGTGCCTATTCTGCAAATGCTTCTGTGCAACGCACAGAAACTCACCCTGTTTTGCTGGGGACCCTGGTACCTTTCAAATGCAATTCTTCTCGAGGTTGTGCCTTCTGACGACCCAGACATACAGATGCTATGTGGCCTTGCCTTCCACACACTCTGCAGATGGCGGAATGGAACCTGTAGTCGGCTCTCTTATGGCGACCTCCACACCCAAAGCATTTGGATGCTGCTGGAGCTTTTTCTTTGCTTTCCTTCTGTTTCCTTTCCATGGACTGGTAAAGCTGATCCACCTCTTCTTCAGGATCTTCCTCCGAGCCTTCTTGGACACCCTCATGGTGCACGGAGACTGCTTCTGGATTGTTCCTGATGGGCCGCATGTTCTTGACTGCCCCACCTGCTGCCACCTCAGCCATTACCTCTCTCAAAGCATCTTGGAATGAAATATCTTCTTTTGCAAAGATCCTCTGTTGTATGTCTCTGTTTCTTAAACCACATACAAAATGGTCTCTCAGCCTCTCTTCTAAATCTTTAAATTTGCAGCGTTTGGCTACTCTTCTCAAGGCTGCAATGAATTCCTTGGCTGATTCACCTGCCCTCTGGTCCCTCTGTTCAAACGTTTGTCTCCACGCAATAACAGACATCTTGGGCTGGAAATGTTCTTTTAATAGCTTCTTTAAGTCTGTGTACGTTACAGACTCTAGAGGAGCAGGGGCCACCAAATTTTCCACAATTTCAAATGCGTCCTGACCACAGACACACAACAGAGTTGCAGCCTTCAAGCCATCTTCTCTTATTTAATTCACTCTAAAGTAATTTTCTACTCTAGCAACATAGGACTCCCATCTCTCTGGGTGAGCAACGTCGAATTCAGACAAATGCCCTATCTTCACCATCCTTGCTTCTATTTCTAGGAAGGAGACTATCAGCCGAGCTTATCTCCAGCAATGCTTTACTGGCAGGCCGAATTTAACGCTGTCTTCCCTTCCTCAAGGACTCCTTGGGTAAGTCTTATAGCTTTTCTTCTTTCCGCTTGTAAGGCATCCCACCTTCGTCGCCAGTGTTAAGTCCTCGAGTTAATGGCGAAAGAAGAGCCAACAACTGTAACCAACAACTGTTTATTCTTCTTCTACTCACTCCAACACAACACAGAGGCTCGCAGGCCTCTCTCTAATTATATAGATTCCAGGGCAAAAAGGTTACAATGATAAAATGGCACGCTTTTCGCGCCTTGCACATGTGCACAGGCTGGCGCCGCTTAGTCTGGTCCCGGGCAGCTTGCAACAGCCCTGGACCATAGCAACGTCCCGAGCCTGCTTTTGCAGGCTCAGGACACAACAGGAGGAGTCTATCAACAGGTTTGTCTTTTTATTTTATTTATTAAAGAGGATGGATAGCCATCTCTCACTAATTCCTTAATTCCTCCATATAATTCTTCTATATTGCACCCACAGACTCTTCCTGATTTGTGCAATACCTCATGTACACCCCATGTGCCATTCTCAATCCTGTTTCCATTATGTTTATTCTGTTTAGGTAAGGAAATATGTCTGAAATGATGACCAATAGGTTATCTAGAATATAAATAAATATAAAGAAGCAAACAACCAAATAAGTACAATAAATAAAGTAAAATAAATTTAATTTTTTAAATAAATTTCTCATTTATCCAGTCGTAATGTTGAGATACTACAAAATCAAAATACATATACAAAGATACTTCAATACATTTCTCATTAGATTATTTTATTATGTACAATTTACAAGCAATTTTCCATAAAGCAAGCACATTAGATTATTTTCAAATATATTTAATTAATGCTTCCATATATGTGTTTCAGTGTATGTGTATATAAACACACAGAGATATAAACAGAGACATAAACACACACTTTATCTAACACCTCAATATCTGAAATACATAACATTCCATTCAATTATTTAATATAATTTTCTGAATTCTAATTTCCTATATTTAGGTAGATCTTAGTTCAGATTCTATCTTGAGAATTAAAAGAGTATACAAAAGACATAATTTTTAGTTAAGCTACAATTGGAAGAGATTACTCAATTTCACAATAAAATAAATTTAAAAATAAATAAATAAATCAACTGTAGTATGAGTCCTTAATGTAGCTTTTTGTAATGTGTAAGATTGTGTGAGATGTTTTCCAAAATTTTATTCCTGCTTTTCTCTTAAAATAAAAACAAAGTAATTGTTTTTTAAAGAAATAAAAAATGACTTCAAAACTCAAGAATACTTAAAAGACTTAAAAGAACAATATTAATGTCCTGATAAAGATTAATGAATTTAAAATGAATGCAATAATGGAATAGAGAATTATAATTATGAAATCAAAGGGCAATGGAATGTCAGTTTGTGTGGTGACTAAGAAGCATGTGAGTTTAAGTTCTGCTTTAAGCATGAAAACCAGCTGGATGACTTTGGGTCAGTCACTTTCTCACAGCCCAATCTTCCTCATAGTTGTTTATTAGGAAGTCAGTAAAATTAGTCATGATTTTGTAAATATTTCTCATATAGGTCATTAGTACGATATTCTACAAAACAAAACAAAAAACTAAATTAAATTACTGTCAAATTCATTTCATCAATCCTTTGTTTCACTAAATGTCAGGACAGCAATCAATTATGTACTATATGAAATTGGTTCTTTCTGACCAAGAAACACTAACAAATCAGCGAATAAAGGGATGTTAAGTTTTATTATTAATTCAAGCAAACAGATAATGTACAAAGCATACATAATAAGCACAATAATATAATGTACAAAGCATACATAATAAGCACAATAATATAATGTACAAAGCATACATAATAAGCACAATAATATCCAAATCAATTGCAAGCTCTCAGGAGCTCCTTAGTAAACAAAGGGTGGCCAATTTCCACAGTACCTAATGCCAGGTTCTGTGCAGAAACTCCTAATAAGCAACAAATTTAAAACCTGGCACCATGTCTTCATGATCCCACTATAATCATGAGATTGCAAGACCTGACCTGAAGCAAAATTCTGAGAAATTCACAGGTTTGCAGCTATGGGAAGATCCCCCCCCCCATTTCTTCTTTATTTAGCAAATAAGAAAGCAAGCAAGTTAACCTGGAAAAAACTCTAAATATGCAAAGTTTTCTTAATTTGAAGGCAAAATAAAAATATGTCACTAAACTTGAAATACAATTGTCTTCTGTATTACAATTGTCTTCTGCATCCTTTTTCTCAATATATACACTTCTCTCTTGATACAAGATAGATGATAGATAGATAGATAGATGGATAGATAGATAGATAGATAGATAGATAGATAGATAGATAGATAGATAGATAGATAGATAGATAGACAGACAGACAGACAGACAGACAGACAGACAGACAGACAGACAGACAGGGAAGAGGGTTTCATCCTCCAGATTAAAAGTTTTCATGTAGTCACTAGAAATCAGGGTGACAGCAAAAAGAGATATGTCTGGATATGTTAAATAGATATACAGTATGTTTAGTTATAGAAATGAACAATTATGTTTTCTAATATAAGATAACATTTGTGTTAATGTTTTATATGCTGTGTTTGTTTTTTTCTCTTTCTTACAGATTTTTTTTAAAATTCTGGCAAATGAACACTTGATGCTTCTTTAAAAAGAAATAAATCTTGGATCAAAAAACCTTGAAAGAGCAGCTTTGATCATCTTGTTTCTCATGCTGTAGATTACTGGATTCAACATGGATGGAATAATGGAATACATAATTGTAATTAGGAAGTCAAGATGAGATGGATTGTCAGATATGTCTCTTAGGTAAGCAAAGCAAGCAGTAAACAAAAAGAGGGAGAAGACTATAAGGTGTGGCAAACAAGTAGAGAAGGCCTTTCTCCTTCCTTGTGTAGAAGGAATTTTCAGCACAGCAGAGAAGATGTGCACATAAGTAACAATTACAAAAATAAAACAACCAAATCCTAAAGTAGAACTGAACATTATAATTCCAATTTCAGTTACATATAAACCAGGGCAAGCAATCTTAAGTAAATATGGGATTTCACAATAGAACTGATTGATGATGTTAGAGCAGAAAGGAAGAGTGAATGTTGCAGTAGTGTGTAATGTGGCATTGAGAAAGCTGGCAATCCATGCACTGCCAACCATTTTGGTACAGGCTTTTTTGTTCATTATCATTTCATATTGTAAAGGATTACAAATGGCAATATATCGATCATATGCCATAATAGTAAGGAGTGAAACATCACAGGCCAAGAAAAAGAAAAACAAAAGAACCTGAGAAACACACCCAGAATAAGAAATGTATCTTATATTTGTAAGAAAATTTAAAATAGTCTTAGGGATAATGACTGAAACTGAACCAATGTCTTGAATAGCTAAATTCATCATGAAGAAATACATGGGAGTGTGAAGATGGTGGTCAAAGACAACAGCAATGATAATAAGAAGGTTCCCAGTTAATGTTGTTAAATAAAGTATCAGGAATAAAGATAAGTAAATAATCTGTACCTCCCAAAGTTTTGAGAAATCCAAAAGAAGAAACACAGATGTGTCATTATCCATTCTTAATTACAATAATCTTAAAAAAGCAAAGAAAAATTAATGGAAACCCTACTTAGCTTGAAATATTTTGAAAACTAACTGATCAACTTTAATTGAACATTACAGTAAATCTTGATCATACAACATTTTGAATAACACCATTAGATTTTGATTTGCCAATTATCTTACTTATTTTTAATTTCAGAGTAGTAAACCTTAGACCTTAAGGCATTGTTATATTTCTTGGATTTGGAGATATTTGAGAATGCATCTAGAATTTTAAGATATTCCTTCGGTATTCATATGTAAGGTCTGATCAGATTCAAAGTTTTGGTTTCTTTGTTTTCTTTTTAGAGTCAAATTAATTCAGATGAAAGTATCCAAATTCAATCAAGTTCCTTCTGTCTGAAGTGATTAAAATGATAGAGCCAAAGAATGCCTGGAGAAAAAGGCTTTGCATAAGTTGAAGCTTTTTAATCATTTAAACAAATCAAAGTTAGTGACTTTGGTTTAGAAAGCGAATGAAAATGCCTTTTGAGAGAATGTTCATCTTGAACATTTACAAAGCCCTGGCTTCTAAGAACATGTTAAAAATGAAAATGAGGGCATAAAGGGTAGTAAACTGAATATAGATTATACAAAGATAATGTAAAACTCCAAACTCAGTTGATTCTTAGGCATTGACTTCAGTGGATTTCATTCAATCAAGACAATGTACATCTTCCTTCCTTCTTCTCCAGCCTTGTGATTTTTAAACAATTTTAGGTCCTATTATTTATTATTGTAAAGTTTCATACCAGTGTTTTATTAGTTGTAAGCCACCTAGAGTCATCTCTAGGTGAGATGGGCAAGATGATTGTTTAATAAATAAGTTCAAATAAAACACAAGACAAGCTTTGGCTGAATAAGTTCAAAATCAAATAAGTCAATGTCTCACCCTCTTTAGCGATCTATTGATCTATTTCTTTCTGCAGCTATCAGTGAGATTTACTGTACATTGTGCAGCTAGTGCTAATATTTAATCCAAATATATTTCCCCAGAGATGTTTTTTACAATACTGTCTCCATTGGGAGGATAAAAAAGGCACTGTAGAATGTTTTTCCTTTTTTACTCATAAGATTATTTCCTTAGAATAGGTACTATTTAAAGCGGGATGAGGGGAAAATAATTTGCAGGCTCAATAATGAGAAAGGTTATATTAAAGTAGATGAACACTAAATATAACTCTGTCAATTTTCATGTGATGAAAAATTTGTTGTCATTATGCAGGATATTTAACAGGTGTCCTTAGAAATAAGATGCTCTCATTTAAATAATGACAGAGAATAATGGTGTAAGAATTTTTCTGATTTTCATTTTCATTTCTCAGTCCTCTTCAAACAAATTTCCTGTATTATCCTGAAAATCAGGGGTTGGCAAACTTTTTACTATACAGAAGCTGTACCTAGCTATTTTCTGGAGAAGTGAAAATCCCAATGGGAAAATTGGTCATGCAAATTCCACAGAAATATGCTTTGTTTATAAGTGAAGTGATGCATTCATATTTTCCCCTTATTTTACAATATAAAGTTTGCAATATTTGCCTTATCTACTGCAATATCTATTGTACACACAAACACACAATTTTCTAATATACCCTATAGAGTCAGTAGAAGAATAACATTTATCTAGTTCTTCAATAAAGTTTGGAGTCGGTTTGATTGATTATATGTTATCAAGTTGTATTCACTCTTACCAAACATATAGATTTTCTCTAGGGTAATCAATTAATTCCTAACATGGTCATTCATATTTCAGCTGCAATTGGGTTCACACATATCTTGCTAGTCATCCTCTTCAACTTTTTCCTTCTACTTTTCCCAGCCGTACATACTTCTTCAGAACATTATGACTTGGCATAAGGTGCCCAAAATATGAGAATTTGAACCATTTGTATCTGGCCATTTATACCTCATCTGAGAATTCCTGATTGTTTTTCAATGATTTATTTGTTTGCCTTCTTAGCTACCCATCATATTTTCATAATTTTTCTCCAACACTTAAGTGAAAAAAAGTCAATATTCTTCTCTCAAGTCCAAGTTTGTTACATGAAGATCACTAAGGAAAATGAATGTCTGCACATTTCTGATCTTTGCAGATGTAGATACATCCCAGAATCCATATTTTTTTCAAACCCTTCATTGCTGGTTTCAGTACAGGTAGTCTTTACAACCATTTGTTTATTGATCTCTCAAAATTAAATAGCACTGAAAAAGTGACTTATGAAAGTTTTTCATACTATGACAATTGCAACATCCCTATGGTCAGGTGATCAAAACGTGGCAACTGGCATATGTTTATCACAGCTGCACTGTCCCAGAGTCATGTCATCACCATTTGTAACCTTCCCAGCTGGCTTCTGAAAAGCAAAATCAATGAGAGAAGTCACATTTGCTTAATGAGTACATGGTTCACATAATGACTGCAGTGATTTGCTGAAATACAGTGGCAAAAAGGTTAGAAAATGGGGCAAAACTCACTTAATAACTGCCTTGCTTAGCAATAGAAATTTTGGGGCTCAATTGTGGTCACAAGATGAGGACTACCTGTACAGTTGAACTGTCTGCCTTTTTGGATCAATTCTTTACCACTTCAAGATTTTCACTGTTAATTTGAAAATAGGTTATTCATGTTGGCTTTGGTTTGTTATTCTTCATATTAAATCATCTTTCTACTGTGGTCCTTGCCTTTCATTCCTAGAAGTTGTTGATCACATGCTTTTTCAACTTTCAGGCTAGCACCATCAGCATGTTGCAGGTGATTGGAGAGTCACCCCATAATTTTAGAGCCATGTCCTTTTCTTCCAATAAAGTTTCCTTCAATATATATTCTGTAAAAAAGTGTACACTATTAATTCTAAAATAGGCTTTATTAATTAATAAAAATTGACTGAATAAATTTCACTTTTACATAGATTTTATAATAATTTTAAAAATGAGAGAAGTGTAATTTATATTATTAAATGAGTAGATGGTATGTTTAGGTGATTTACATCAATTTGATAAGTTAATTCTTGGAAGGATTTTTACATCTTTCTTATTTGTGTTTATTTTTATGTATTATTTTGTCTGGATATTATACCTTAATAAGTAATTAATTTGATGAATGTGTCTACATTATTGTTTGATATATACATTTGTTTTTGTATTTATATTTGTATTTCTCTTTGAACTGAATTGAAATTGAATAAAGAGAGATACAGATAGAGATGATAGAGTGGAAGGAAGGAAGGAAGGGAGGAGTAAGTTTCATTAACCAACCTGATTTTTTTCCACTTTTACTAAAGACATGTGGAATAAATCCTTGATATTATCTCATGTAAAGATTACTATAACAAAGTTTAGAAGAAAAGGATAATGAACTTTTAGATATTATTTCTTCAAAATTTATATTTTCCTTTATAATTATTTTATAATTTGTATTATTTGAATCAGTCCTGAGATTATGTTTATTTATAAATGTGAAGTGCTAATATCATTTGGGAAGATATACTAACATGCACGCATTACAATTTCAGGGAAAGGTTAATTGAATGATACATTAAACTTGTCCAGTTAATTAATAGAAGAGTTTGCATAATCTCTTTGCCCTTATCTTAACCATACTTGTTGTTTCTATAAATTAAAATGGCATTCCTCCATTACTGCTAATACTAATTAATATTTGGAATTTTGATTGTAAGCTGTTTCCAGATTCTCATTACCAGTGAAGACCATAGAAGATCAGCTTCCAGATTGGTTTAATTCCTACTAAAAAGTTGGAACATGGTCTAACCAATTATGTTATGTCAGTTTTCTTACTTTCTTGTTGAAATTTGAAAATAAGTGGATGCATAGATCATTCTCTTAAAAAAAAAACTTCTGTCCAAAAAGCCTTAAAAAAGCAACTTTGATATCTTTATTTCTCATGCTGTAAATTAATGTTCAACATAGGTGGAATATTGGAATATGTTATTGATGTTATGAAGTCTGAATGTGATGCACTGTCAACTCTAGGTTTTAATATGCAAGCAAGTAGTAAACAAGTACCTTAACCATGTTTTCTTGAAGAAGTAAACAATGTTCCAATAAATACTGTAGAAACAAAAACTACTTAAATCCTATTCAAGCCAACTTTATTTACCTCCCTGTTTTAAACAGTAACTTTTAATAGATGAACTTTTTTGCATAAAGATTGGATTGACCATGCTTATTTGATGCTTTAAAAAGTAGGAGATGTCTTTATATAAAAACATGCATGCTGTCTAGACTTACTATGGAACTGAGGAAGTATATAAATGAATACATATTTTAACTTATAAAAAATGAAAACCTCAATAAAAAGGGATGGTAATTAGCTCATGTGTATTATGTTTCTCATTAAAGATTTGTTAGAAATTTCACATCAATATTCATAGAAATTTTAAAACATTTTTCATATGAAATTCTTCAACACTATTTGCAATATTTTTTTGTAAAATACGCAAACAGAATTATTTATTTTCAAATGCTTTTTCCTAATAAATACATTGTTTATAGATTTTCTGTACTGCATCCATATTGGAAATATGTAAAATTCAATTCAATATTTCATACAATTCTAATTTTTTATCTGTTAACTGTCTTTCGCAGAATAATTGTTGTGAAAATTATCTCTGACACTTTGGCATCAAACAAAAGATACAAACTTTTGTCTAAATATTCTGAAGAGACAACCAGTGTCATATGATGGTTAAGTCAAAGAACTGGGAAAAAAAGAACATGGGTCCAGCACTACCCAACTAGGTGTCCTTGCAGGAAACTTCCTCCCTCAGCTACTATTTAAAATGCTGGCAAGAAAATTGAACATGTACTGTATGTCTCTGTAGTCATTAACAGTCAGAGAAGATTCATGTAAATGGGGATTTTACAGAAAACTTCAATATTAAAAAGGGCACAAGACAGGGATGTCCACTATCTTCATTACTATTCATATTAACATTGGAAATACAAAATAGAAACATTAGACAAGATATAGAAATCAAAGGACTAGAGATAAAAGATGAAAAATATAAATTACAAGCATTTGCAGATGACCTGATTTTTATTCTTGAAGATCCACTGGAAACAAGCACTAACCTTCTGGAGAAAATATAAAAAAATTAGAGAAGTGGCAGAATTGACAATAAACAGAGAAAAGACTAAAGTGCTAACAAAGAATTTAACAGAAAACAAAAAAAAATCAACTAACAAAAAAAATCTTCAAATAATTAAAAAAGTCAAGTACTTGGGAATTTATTTAACAGCAAGATGAGTAACAGTAAAAAAAAGATAATTATGTAAGACTGCTAAAACAAATAAAATTGGATTTGGAAAAGTGGAAGAACCTCCAGCTTTCAATGTTGGGGAGAATAGCAACAGTGAAAATGAATATCTTTTACCAAAAGTACTCTTTTTATTTCAAACAATCCCTATAAGCCTGGGAAAGACCTTTTTTGATGAACTGAATACAATAATATTGTAATTTATCTGGCAAGGAAAAAAAGCTAGAATCAAAGTGAAAATGCTATAAGAAGCAAAAGATAGTGGAGGATTTGGACTGCCGGACTGGAGATTATATTACCAAGCAACCATTTTAACATGGCTTAAAGAATGGATAATACTTAGAGATAAAAGACTATTGTATCTGTAGGGGCATGACCTGCAAATCGGTTGACATGCTTTTCTGTAGTATGGAAAGAATAAAATACATAGATATTGTCAAAATCATTTTATAAGGAATGCACTTCTTTCAGAATGTGAAAGAATAAAAGAAAAAAATTACATTAAGATACCCAAATGGCTTGCAACAATGGAAGCTTTTGTTTACCCAAATTTAATTAACTATGATAAAGTTGTAGCTTATAAAGATTTTTTGGACAATGAAGGAAAATTAAAAGACAGACAAGAGGT